TGTGATGTTGATCGTCAGATCTGTTGGAACACAGTAAACATGAACAATGAATCCTGAACCTGTTCTTCAAAAACCTTCTTCTTTCCAATGAGAAACTACAATAATCCACACACCACAGTCAATCCTAATCTGAACTGGTGGAAGAGTTTTATTTATGGAGACACTGTTGTCCTTGATCAGACCAGAACAGCTGTAGTCTGTGAAGGGCTCCACGTCAGACAGGTTCACGGGGACAGAGACACGTCCTGTTTCTGGAGACACAAAGATGGAATCATGTTCAGTGAGCGGAGTTCATCCGTCTGTGCTGCCCAACAGTTCACGCTGACACTAACAGGAAGTGACTGAACGCAGCAGCTTGGGACTCCTTCCACTCGAACATTCAGACTTGTAATAATTTGGAGTTTTTATCTTACTGCTGACTGAGCAAGTCTTCAATGTGTCTCACCTGAACAGGTGTACTCCACACTGAGACGTTTACAGTTTGAAGGAAGCTTTGGTTTGATCTCTGCAGGAAGTCCAGCAGGTTTACGCTGATTTATGGCATCTGGATTTATGAACTCTGGATCAGGAAATAAAACGAACAACAGTGTGTTCATGTTGGGTCTGAATAAATATTATTTTAAAACAAAACAAGAACTTTTGAACATACCAGTAGAAATGTCTTGGGTGAGGGTAAAAGACGAGTTCTTGCAGTTTTCAGGAGTGAAGTTTACAGTAAAACTTGAGCAAAAGTCTTCATCGTCAAGTTTAAAACGTAATGTTCCATCCGTTTGATTCTGAGCTGGTTTGTTGTTGTGCTTTAACTCTGAAGGGCTGATGGTCCAGTCACTTTGGTAACAGATGTATCCAGGAGTACACTCGGTGACTCTTATGTCTTTGTTCACTGAAAGAAAAACACCATTTCTCAGTTTTACACCCAAATGATTCCCTTCAAGCTGAAACGAAAGTGTCCGACACAACAGCCTGAAGTCTTTGTACTCACTCAGATCTCTGGTCCTTTTAGTTTCAGAGCAGAATATTTGGCTCATATTGTTGTTAATAATTGTGACATTGAGCTGATAATCAGTGCAGGGCTTCAGATTGTTGATTTGATCTTTTGGAGCATTTAAATATTCATTTTTCTTTTCTGGTCGTCCTTTCTCAACAAAACTTATGGTGTAGATTGGGGGAAAGTTTGTCGTGTCAATCTGGAAGCCGGATGAGTTCTCTTTAAAAGTGCCATTGCCTGGAACAAAAAAACAACATTAAATATTTATTTTTTTACATTTTTGGTTAAAATAAATCACATTGTTCAATAAAATCTCAAACAGTTTGTTGTTTTGGTATTTTCAAACCATCTTACCTGTCGTCTGGACAGAATAAAGAAAATGAAAACACTAAAAATGTCATTATGAAGAGAAAAAACAGACAAAGTGATGTCATTTAAGATGATACTCACAGCGTAGGACTGGATTGCTGACTGGAAGACAAGAATGAAAACATTAAAATACTTTAATACAACTTGAGCACAACAAGACGGTTTACACTGATCTGTTCACGTGACGTGTCTCTTCAATTACACTCGTTTTATAAGAGTCTTATCAAAGTCCTGTAGAGTGAAGGACGTTCCAACCTGTGGTAGAAGGGACCTCTGTGGAGTTCTGGGTGTCTGGAGGTGAAGCTGTGCTCTGATTGTTTGTTTGAGAAGACGACTGGTTGCTGGTTGAAGTGCGTGCTGGTGAGGTCTCGTTTGAGGTGTTTGCAGGAGAAGAGACTGCAGGTCAGAGAGCATGACGGAGGTCACCTTCACGCTGAAATACTCCACTAGTGAACATCTTACCTTCTTGTCACTCGAGCACTATTCATCAGACCAGAAGTAGCACTTTAAAGACTACAAACATAAAACATTACCAGACGTGGCGGTTAAGGGGGACGATGGAGTTAAGGAGGCTGAGGCGGTGGATTCAGAGGTGGGCGGAGCTTTGAGGGAGGTTGTGGCAGTGGATTCTGCCGAGGTGCGTGGAGGTAAGGTGGGGGTGAGGGGTGCAGATGCTGCACCACTGAGTGGAGACGAGGTGGAGACATTTGGCGCAGAATTTGTGCCACTGACAGGAGTGCGTGCAAGTGAGAGGGCTAGAAATACAAAAAGTCAACACATCTCAATGTTCATTTCTGTAATCTGAAAGAGTTTGTGCAGCTGGAAAAACAACAACAAAAATGTTTACTAAAGCTGTTGTAGGTCGCCGAATGACTCGACCAAAGATGTAAAGGGCATTAGTTAAAGATAATTAATTTTATATAACAGAACACTGCAAATGTAAACTCAAAAGGAAGTAAAAATAAACCATAATGAAGTAATGAGAACATTTGCCTCGCACTCAAGTTCATTTTTGTTCCTAAAATTGGGTTTAGTGGCAAATTTTTCATTATTCGGCTCCTACAAGTCATTGGGTGAATCGATAGGACCATGTTTCTCAGACAAAACTGCGTCCAAACCCGTCGTAAAAGACTGAGGTGAACCAAACTCCATAAATACTGACATGCATGTTGGCATCGGCATCACTTTATCCAAATATTCACAACAATCCAGAACCACTGTCAACTGTTTGAAATAAAAGTTTTCATAAATGAGCACTCAAATATAAATATAACAATAAACAGAACAAGTATGTTTCATCTTAGACACTCGTGACTTGTTGGTGCAGCAGAATTATGCAGCAAAATACAATTCAAGAAGCTCAAAATCAGCGAGTTAAAAAAACGACTATTTTGCAGAAAAGAAAAAGAAATGGTTTCTTCCTCAAACATGCTGCAAACTGCTTCCTGACCTAAACATAAATAAACAAAGTAAGCTGTTGCACACTATATAATGTTAAATGTTCTTACATCAGCAGCAACTTTTTATGAAATGAGCACAAACGTGAAATTTACTGTAAAATTGAGTTCCTAACTGTGACAGGTTGAAAATCTCTATCTGAGTCATTACAATTGTAGATATTTTTTGCTTCCGTTTTGTGAAAGATAATCCAAGTAATGCCACTTACCATTAATGGCAGCTATTGTCAATCAAAATAAGTGTGTAAAAACCTATTTCTATCATAACAAATCTTTGTCGGATGTGCTCATTTGAGTACAAGTTTAGAGTAAAACAGTAAAGAGTGAGCAGCTCAGGAGAAGGATTGGACTCAGCATGAAGCGAAGCTGCAAGTTAGGAACGCAGCAACTTGGTGAGAATGATTAAAATGTATTACACTTTTATAAATCATCACTCACTTGTTGAAGAGCTTTCACCTGAAAACACAAAAATGAAAAAAAAAAAAAGCTTTAATTTTTTAAATAAAACCATGTGATAATAAGAAATTTAAGACATAAAAGACCTCCCCCAGTGTGCCCTCTGTTAAGGTCAAACCAACCAGTATTGGGCCATAAGCGGGAAATGGCCGCCGTATCTGGATGTGGCGGTACTGTGAAACCTGGTTGTCGTGGCAACACGACAGAACAACTCTTGCTATTTCAGTGAGTGAACCACAGCTTCCTGCCTCGCACTAAAATGTCGTGCCGCCCAAAAACTCACAAAACTTTTTGCCCTTCCACTGTCTCACCTTTAAAGACTTTAAAAACAAAACACATACAAAACAACATTTTAAATAAAAATCAAGGAGTGTTTCAGATCCTGCATTGCATTTAAAGTTTGCATTTTAATTGTATTAGTTTTCCTCCATCGGTGAAACAGAACAAAAGGCAGACTTAAAACAGATTTCGGCTGAAATGTTCCCTCAACACAAACACATTTTTGCTGTTTTTCTCCTTCAGCTCTTGACAGAAGTCAAGAGAAATGAGCAAAAAGTTGATGAGGGACAGTGAGACGGAGAGGGAGGCAGGATGTGGTTTAGCACGTTGTTTCACAGCATGGAGCAGAGATGCACGCTCTCTGCATGCTCTCTGCACGCTCTCTGCATGCTCTCTGCATGCTCTCTGCACTGACATTTACACCACACACTTCAGCCTCGTTGTTTCTGCTATTAGAAACTGCAGCGAACTGATTCAACCTCTGAGGGATGAACTTGGGACACATTAATATTTCTGTTGTGTGAAAACTGCGTGACACACAGCAAAATGTCAGGAAGTCACCAGAAAGCAAATGAGGAACAATCAGCCTTTAAATAGAAGCTCAGTTTTAAACAGGTTTGAATGATCTGTCTGTTTGTAATTAATTAATTAATTAAAACAGGTGAGAAATTAACCAGAACAGAGCTTTTGAACACTTCCCTCTGACTCCATTTAGACTAACATATATCAAAACAGACCCACAGAGCTTATAAACTACCAGTATGGGACAATGTAGCTCATTCATTTGTAGTAAAGTGACAAGAGTTTCTGTGTTAAGGTTAGAAATAGTGTATCCACGTCAGTGCCTCTTTCCTGTGGGGCTCGATTCTTGGACACCTTTACTTTTCACTCCATCTGCTGCCTTTGAGATCTATTCTGAGGAAACGTGGACTTTCATTTCATTGTATGCTGATGATTGTCAGAATTATCTGTCCTGAAAACCTAACAGTTCCTGCTCCATTCGCCCTCTGTTAAAATGTCTTGATGACATCAAGGCGTGGATGGCTTCAAATTTTTCAAGTTTTAATGATTAGAAAACTGAAGTTGTGTTTAGCCCTAGCTCTACCGCTGTCATTGAGCCTGTAAATCTTGACACTCTTCAACCTTATCTTAAGCAGTCTGTTACAAATCTTGGAATGGTTTTAGTCTCTGAATTTAAGTTTAATAAACAGATTAACTCTGTTCTTCAAAAAAGCTTCTTCCAGTTAAGGCAGATAGCTAAGCTTAAGTCTGTGTTGACCAGATCTGACCTTGAAAAAAATAGTCCATGCATTCGTTACAACCCGACTGGACTACTGTAACGCATTTTATGTTGGGGTTAGTCAGGTGCCCCTTTCACGTCTCCAGCTTGTCCAAAATGCTGCAGCTCAACTATTAACAGGAACTCATAGGTTTGAGCATATTTCACCAGTTTTGTCCTCCCTTCACTGGCTCCCTGTGTGCATTGTCCTACTTCAACCATATGTTCCTTCGCAGGCGCTGAGATCATCTGTTCAGCTGCTTTTGGTTGTACCTAAAACCAGGATGAAGAGGAGATCGGGCTTTTTTCAGTCACTGACCATCAACGTTAGACAGGCCACTTCACTTCCTGTTTTTAAATCTCTCCTAAACACACACCTGTTTTCAATGACAATTAACACAGTGTGATTTGAATTAGTATTTCATTGTTTCTCATTGTTTGTGTGTTTTTGTTTCTATTTTTGATGCTTTTAATTACATGTTATTTTTTATTTGCTGCCTTGATTTTATTGTTAAGCACTTTTGTAACAGCTGCCATTTTAAATGTGTTTTATAAATAAAATTGATTTGAATTGACTTGACTAGTTAATTAACATGTATAAATAAAGTGTAAATGAAAAAAATTGTTAAAACTAGTCATATTTTTCACGATTAAACCCCTAAAAACCAACTAATGAGGTGCCTTTAATGAATTATTTCGTTAGTTACAGAGTTGATACAGCTCTTTATGGTACTTTGTACATCAGGCAGAGTTTTACAAAGTAGGTGTTCCTCCCTTTAATAATCATCATCATTAATATTTTAAATTAAATTAACCTTGTGAGTATAATGAACTGAGAATTTGGTGAATATTTGTTGTCTAATTTGCAGTACTAATTACCACAATGTGTCATTGTCACCATCCTGAGTGACAGCAAATTAGTTATTTATTAATATTTATAAGAAATATAACCCTCTTTATTTCTTGATAAGCCTAATATAAAATGTGTGCAGTAGTTAATGTTATTTCAACCATAAATGTATAAAAGTATTGTCCCTTATTATAATTTGTGGCTTCCTATAAATATAAATTAATAGGTCTCTTTAACTAACTAGAAACAAACACCAATAAAATTATGATTCATCCTGTTACGTTAAAAGAGAATATCGACTCGAGTTCAGTAAAATATGAAATAATTAATACTATTTGGAATGCACACTACACTATCAGAAATTAATACTCAAGTAATTAGTAAAATATTTTTTCTATTTTCTGGCAGGAGAACTTCCACAGAGGAAAATAATCAGTGTAGCTTCAACTTAATTTAATTATTTGTTAGGATCTTCTGTTTGTTTATCTTATCTCTAATATATTATTATTGAAAAGAATAGAAAAATATGTCAAATAATAACAATTGATGTAGCAGTACAACTTTTTCTCTTGGAAAGGAACTCATCGTTTATCGTCAAATTAACATCAAATTTGTCAATTTGTACGAATCGTTTTATTGACTCTTCATTTACCTAAAACTAAAAAAATAATTAATCCAAACCTTTAATGGATATTTCTGATTTTATTTTTGTTCACAAAGACCCACCAAGTTTCAGCTGCGTTTAAGACAGTAAAATAAAGTTTTAGCCAATACTTGGGTTTACTTTCTTTACTTTCTTTTTCACAGAGTCAAAGAAGCAGAAGTTGAGAAAGAAAAAGGCCAAATGAAAATGAGAAACTAAACACAAACATTTTTGATTTAAAACAATGAAATTGAAATTTAAACCCTGAATTCTTTGATAATATTTAGTTTAGCTAAAACACGGATGAAATGAGCAGACGTGTATCTCACGTGTTTATCAGTGTTCAGTTTGTGCTTTTTAATCTCATCTTTTACATTCACCATCCCCTTCCCTGTAACAACCCCCCACCACCACACACACACACACGCACACACACACACACACCCCCTGCAGAAACTGCATTAATTACGCCCTCTGACCTCAGTTCATTTTTAGGCAGTTTCTGTTTTGGGTCACAAAATCTTGACTATTTGTCTTCGCTCTCTGCGTCTTCGCTCTCTGCGTCCTCGCTCTCTGCGTCCTCGCTCTCTGCGTCCTCGCTCGCACCGCTCGATTCAGCCGTGCCAGGAAATGAAGGCAGCTCAGAATGGAACACGGAAGTGGTCACAACTCTGTCCTGCTGCAGGGCCACGCACCACAAATGGCGCACTTTTTACTCGGTGGCGTTAAAGACAACCGAGGCCGCATGTCAAGTTCAACACGAACGACCTTAGAATTGTTAAAAACCTTAAAAGGATGAAGAACTAAGAGTAAAAACCAGAACGAGAAGATCATTTTTGATCATTTCAGTCAGCTGGTTTAGCTTCAGCTGAGGTATCTGGAGCACAATGACGTTTCTAACATAAATTCAGACTCGTGTTAGAACAATTGCAATGATTTAAATGAATAAAAAGAACGATGAGAAAACGGGAAAGATGTGTCTAAATAAAAATAAAAAAAGTCTGCTGATGTGGTACACCATGAGTCAGCTCGTGATCAGTCACAAACAACAAACTCTGAGCAGGACGGATGATAAGAATGACAGAGGGATGTGTACAGCCTGGCTTAGCAGTAGGGGTGTTGTCTTACAATTGGAGGGTCGGGGGTTTGATCCCCTGCCCCTACAGCTTGTCAATGTATCCTTAAGAAACCCATCATACCAAATGAGAGCAGTGTGTGTGTGTGTGTGGGGGGGGGGGGGGCATAAACATGCCTCTACAGCCTTTTAGGAGTAAGGACAATTTACATTTGGGTTCTGAGATGGGGTAGAGGCAGGGCAGACGACTCAGGACCCAAAGTCCCAGGTTCGATCCCCAGCCATTCCCACATGTCGTGGTGTCTCTGAGCAAGATATCCAATCCCTAATTGCTCCCCGGGCGCTTACATGGCTGCCCACTGTTCCACCTGGGTGTATCCCAGGTGCGATGGGTTAAAAGCAGAGAATTAATTTCGCCATTTTGAAATAAAATGTTTCAAACATGAACAGAACCAAGTGATGGTGGTAAGTCTGTGCCCATAACACCCCCCCCCCCCACACACACACACACATACACACATACAGATGTTTATCTTTAACACAACAACCACAGTGACTTGTGTTAGCAAAGTGCATGCAGGGACACACCCTGTAAAATCCTCTCATCTTTGATAGACATAGCCCCACAAACACATATGCACACACCCTCCATCCTCCACCTACACACCTACACACACACACACACACATACAGTACAGACTCCCACCATCACACACACACGCACCGTGTCAAAGCAGAACAGAAACATGATTGCAGAATCTCCCTTCTCTTTGTAGTGAATGAAAGGTGTGTTTTTAAAGAGCGCTGTTCTTATTAACGGCGTTCTTTGACTCAACAGAGGAGTTGATTCTTTTGCCAACGGGGCTCATAAAACCTGTCACTTCTCAGCCTCTCACATCACAGACGTGCAGTCGTACTGTCTGCCGTTTCTTTGCTTCGTAAAGTTTAAGAAACGGCACAGACGCAGGAGCAACTCAAAGGCTCCAGATACTGTAGCTTGTCTTTTCTGCCCTCAGTTTAAGTGATTACTTTTTTTGTTTTTGCACTTAAAAAAAAAAGGTTTTGTCAAGCGTGTCTGCTGACAGATTCATGATCCCATCTCGCTCACACACATAAAGGTGTGATTGTGTTGCGCTTGAACACAATCACACACTTAACAAGCAGCTGCTAAAGCTTCAGAAACTCAAGTCAGAGGGTTAGACATCACCACCTTCGTGTTTTGCATAAATTCAACTTTTTTTTAATCATAAAACACCACTTCCTTCATTACAGTTTTCTTACAAAGAAAACTTCATTTTGAACATTTACTTACAGCTGGCCATTCCGACGATCACCACCCAGAGCAGACCGGTCTTCAGACCACAGAGACCCGCCATTTCTCCTGGGAGTTAGGGTGTGTGTGCACACACACTTGAGCGTATAGTCCTGGAGATGACCCGATGCCAAGCTGCTGCTCTATTTCCAACGCTAAACCGAACTCCTAAACGTTGACTTGTTTCAGACTACATAAGTTTTTGTGTCTTATCGGTGGACTCGGCTTCCTGAACTTGTTCCCCAAACCTTGCTTCTGGTTTCAGCTTGAGCAAGTTTGAGTGATGTCACTCAGACGAAAAGAGCCGTCCTTCACCTAAACTCTTAAAGACAGGAAGCTTCATTTCAGCTACGCCACCAAGAACAGGAAGCCATCGCTTGTCTGATCTTCACTTGCTTTTGCTCAAGTGTGAAACAAACCCTTACACTTGTGAAAAAGTGGTGAAACGCATCTTTAGGGAGCAGCTTTTCAATTCAATTCCATTCAATTCAAAATATTTTATTAATCCCAAAGGGAAATTAAATGTTGTTGTAGCTCATCATCCTGGCTTCATTAAGAGTTGTTATATATGCTGATGGCTTTGGGCAGGAAGGATTTCCCACATGCCGATCCGTCCATCTGGGCCCAGTGGGCCTCTCGGTCCTCCTGGGCACCAGGACCACCTGAGTGCTGGGCAGAACTCCTCCCCGAGAGATGGCCACTCCTCTCAGCAGTTTGTTGAGCTCCTCATCATTGTAGACATCCAGCTGCAGGTGTCAGGGGATGATCCTAGTCTTCTTGTTGTCATGAGCCATGTTTCCTGCTAGCTCCAGGATCTTAGCAGACCGTTACTTTAGCACCTCCTCCAGGTAAACGGAGATGCATCCACGGCGCCTCCTTTACAACTCATTTGGGATTTGGGGCTGTATTTGAGGTAATATTTGAGCTTTGAGATTGTTAGGGTTATCCTATTATAACATCAAATCCTATTATAATATCAAAGTCAAACTCAAAACTCATCTGTTTAAAGAAGCCACTCTGTGATTGCAACTGCATTGTCTTATTTTAATTCTTTTTTACTTGGTTTTACTGTGTGTATAATATTGTGTCTGTTTTTATGATTGACAATGTAAGGTGACCTTGAGTGACAAGAAAGGCGCTTACAAATAAAATGTATTATTATTATTATGATTATTATTATAATGATGAGACCCCCGGTCTTGTCTGCACAAAGTCAGACTAGTTTCTGGCCCGGTTCTGTACAGATGAGACTGGCCCAGCTGTTCTGAGTGAGCTTCCCAGGGTCAACACCCGTTAAGGAGTAATTTTTTATTTTGCTGGCTTCTACCATGTAGATAGATTGCTCTTTATACCCATTTTTCATAATAAAAAACAAATAAGGCCGATGAGGTTGCACGTAGTCACCCCACTGATACACTCTGAAAGGCTATGCTCCCGGAAGTGAAGGCGGAGCCAAGGGCCAATATAAGCTGGAGCGTTCTGTTAGTCGGCGCTTCCGCTTCCGGGTTAAGAGGAGTTGGCGCTGAAACTAACTTTCAACTGCCCGATGAACATTAAATTGGTAAACAGAAATTATATATCTTGATTTATTTGAGTTAGAGCGAGTAAAAAAACTGCTCTAGAATTGCGCCGCTCGGGGTGGCTGCATGTTGGAGTAGCTCTGTTACATTCAATCTGAGTTATTGCTTTTGAAAACTTTAGTTCTTATTTTTTTCTGGATGTAAATCACATTTTTCAGATTATTTTTTCCTATGGTATCAGATGCTGTGCAGCTGGAAGGATTTTTACTGAAACCTTTTTACTGTTGGGCATTTGTTATAATGCGTAACCATGGCAACAAGGTGTTTTTTAACAACTAGGAACAGCTGATTAGCATCTCAAAAGCTCAAATACCTCAGCTACAGCCCTGAATCCTAAATGAGTTGAAAAGGAGGCGCCGTGGATGAATTCCTGTCAACTTGGCAGCGGTACTCGACTACCTGACCACCGAGATCCTGAAGCTGGTGGGAAACTTGGCTCGTAACAGCGGGAGGACCCGAATCATCCCCCAGTACCTTCTGTCTGTCTGTCCATGGCAACAAGGAGCTTTAGGGCAGTCCTGCTGCCCAAGAGGACCAAGAGGCCCGCTGGACCTGACAGCAAGCTGAATCCAGGTAGACGGATCGGTATCTGTGGCCAGATTCTTTGGAGTCACTGCAGGAGATCCCACAGCTATCAGCTTCTACCGTATAACAACTCTTGAATGAAACCAGGATGATGAGCTACAACAACACTTCATTTCCCTTTGGGATTAATAAAGTATTTTTGAATTGAGTTGTGTCCTCTCCATCTGGGAATAAAAGAACTAGACGCCGGAAGTAGAGAGTCGGACCGGTTACAGGGACGGACCCAGTCCAGATTCTCACAAAATGGTGCAGAAACACGGCGCCATTTTGATTAGACCCGAACCCGGTCCAGATTCTCACAAGATGTTAAAAAGCTGCTCCCGGTTGTAGAAACCACCTTGTTGTCATGGTTACGCTTCATAACAAATGTCCAAAAGCAAATTCAGTAAAAATGCTTCCAGCTGCACAGTGTCCAACACCAGAGAAAGTAAACATACATTAAAAAAAAAAAAAAAACATTCAGAAAAAAGAGGAAATAAAGGTTTCAAAAGCAACATCCCAGAATGAAAGGAACAGCTGCTCCAACATGCAGCCACCTTGAACGGCACAATTCACGCTGTCAAATTAATTTGGTATCTTAAAAATAACAGAGACAGTGATGAAGAGGTGCAGGCCTTTGGGTTCACGCTGACGTTCCTCTCTGCAGTAAAACGCTCATCGCTGCTCGTCCACAAGAAGTCAGCGGTTCAGAGTACGAGCCGTGGCCTTTCCGCTCCGACGTTTTCCTCCAGGCTTTCGATTTCCCACTCAAACATGCGGCCCACAAGTGAAAAACCTCCATTTCTGCCGCTCATCCAGTGTGAAACAGCTACATGCATGAGCGCTGTTAGATCTTTTCGAAGTCATTGATCGTGCACGGTGTTTGATCAGCACACTCTGCCTTGAAGCCCCCCCCCCCCCCCCCTCCCAAAAAAAATGTTTTAATTCTGTTTACATACACAAGAAAACAAGGGATGAAAGAGGAAGAAGAGGAGTAAGAAAACTCTCCGGGGGGGCAAGGCTCTCGCACCGGGCGGTGAGCTGATGTGAATCCAGATCAAGTTTTTGCACGAGGTTTAATGGGATAAAACACGGGACTGAGCAGATTCTTTTTCTGAGTCAAGATAATTGGCATTGAGCTGACACAGGTTCACTCCATCCTGCCATTGTTAGACACTTGACTCTGCGTGGTGGCAGGATGATACGAATCAATGTTGCGCTCTTAATAAACTTTTTTTATTTCTTTTGAAGTGAGAAAAAGTTCCCTTTTTATAAAAACATCTGAGCTCACAGCAAATAGGAACATGCCATGTTTCTGCCAAAGATAATACACTTTTAGACTAAATCTAATTATGGATTTCCTCTGAGAACCGTGAAGCACATGATATTTGGTTGTTTCCACTTCTGAAAGTATAGATTCTCATAATCAGGAAGTTGCTCTTGAGCAAACAGCACCGTGCTCTTGCTCTTGCAACCAGCAGAAAGCTGTTCTCACAGTTTACTGGCTGTTTGTCTGTGAATACTGAGAATCCACAGTACTCGGTAATCGTCCAGGAGCGACAATCATTAAGTAATATTTTGACTCTGCAAGGAGACCAGCCCTCCTATTCATGTAAGAAGAACATTTTATCAGGATTAAATGGCTGTTTATTGTATTTAAAGCTGCAATAATTTAAAATATTTGCAGGATCTGTTATGACTTTATTGCACAAGTCCAAGGACAGTCAGCTTTACTTTACCTCTAAATGTTTTAGGCTGAAAATTCCCTCACAAAAATAAAACAAAATACACAAACGTGTTTTCACATGAGAATGCAAACCACATGGGATCACACGAACATGTGAAAAATATTACAAACTCATGGTTCCCAAATGCAAAATCCATGCTTACATGTGTTTCACTACTTTATGCTAAACTTTCCACACGTGATATACATGTAGCTGTTCCTGACATGTTTAACACGTGTCACATGTTGAAGGAGATATAAAGTTTGTGTTTTAGTGTAATGGTTGTCAAAAACACTACTTTTTAGTCATAATTTAGAATTTAAAAACTTGCTTCTTTTAGTCTATTTATACATTTTTGAGGCACACTTTTCCTCCAGGGACACCAAAGTGTGTGACAGTTTCATATTTCATCATACTATGTTGTATTGACTCATATTGAATTTTATTTAACTGCAAAGACTAATTTTAGTTTTAGGCTCCCACAGACCAAAAACATGCATGTTAGGCTGATTGGTAACTCTAAATTGTCCCTAGGTGTGAGTGAGAGAGTGAATGGTTGTTTGTCTCGTTTGTCTCTATGTGTCCCTGTGATGGACTTGTGACCCGTCCAGGGTGTACCCTGCCCCTCGCACAGTGATTGCTGGACATGGGCACCAGCGACCCCCGTGACCCAAAATGGAATAAGTGGGTAAAGATAATGGATGGATGGATGGATGGCTCCACCAGAAAATGACTAAAATCGCATATCTTGTTTTAATGTGAAAATAAAAGTGGAAAATGTTTTATTTAATTGAAGTTATATGGAATAAAAGTCCATCCATCCATTATCTTTTACCCACTTCTTCTGTTTTGGTTTGCAGGGGTCACTGGTGCCCATGTCCAGCCATCACTGTGCGAGAGGCGGGGGACACAACCATTCACTCTCTCACCTATAGAGCAGGGGTCTGCAACCTGCGGCTCAGGAGCCACATGCGGCTCTTTGGCCCCTCTGCGTGGCTCTTTGATCAAAACGAACTTTAAACTGCATTTTACTGGTTCTTATAACAACAAAAAGGGCTAGTTTTAGCAGTTTTTCTGTCATTTCCTTTGAAAATATGTGAATACTAGAACTAACAGAAGGAGTAAAACATACTTTAACTTTTTTTGAATGTCCTGAGGACCAGACTTAACTTTTTTTGATTTTTCTACCTGGATTATTGAGCATGCATCAGGATATTATTCCAAGTAG